TAGCTACTAGATCAAACTCGGGTGACATTGTTAAATTCTCACTCGAGGMAATGAATTAACAATTGAATTTTGATTGACAGGATTTTTCTAGGCTCAGTTTTCACCCGGCAATTCCTGACGACTGAAAACTGTCCCTAGACCTAGAAGTACTAAACAGGGTTCCGTCATCAATGGACCACCTCGACGATATATTTCCATTCCGAGCCAATGTAGAAAAATGTCTTGCGGAAAATTTGACGTTAAATAATATTTAATCAAGTCCACTTTTTTAGAGAGTTAATATTAAGCCAATTCTATATAAAGAATACTTTAAATTTAAAATTTTCCCCTGAACACCTCATAAGTCAAAGACTTTTTCAAAGTCGTAGGCACACTAGTACTTGCATTTTTTTGCAATTTCAGGAAAAAAACCCTAGATGCAATTACCTCCTACCAAACGGGCCGGCATGTCGTCGAGGTGGTCCATTAGACATGTAATTTGTAACGCACTCGACACGTTTTTAATCGATTGATAATCCATACTTCATTCTAATCATTTTCATAGATTCTTTAAAGYCCAGTTTTCTGGAAATCTTCATAATTTACTAGAAAACGACTATAAAACTAACAAACAATGAATTAAAAACTTKCCCAGACTGGAGAATAACTGTAGAAAAAGCTATYATCAACTTTTGAACAGMAAAAAGTAGATGTYCAATAGGWTGGGAGATTTTTAAGATTCGCACAGTTCGAATGGCAATGTTCAGGCCATCTTTTTAAAAGAGAATTAGAKTTTGTAAAAATGTTATGGAATCAATCTTCAACTTATTACGAGAAAAAATCTTATTAGAGAAGTTTTCAATACAGACAAATTGTTGTAAATCTGTAGACTGTAGACACCTTATGTGCTTTCCTTCTTAAGGCCCGTTTACATTTGCGATTTTTGCAAATCGTAATCGCCAATTTGCTATCGCGCAACTCAAATCGTACGTGTAAACAGACGTGCGAATTGTTGCCATGATAAAAAATCGCCGCGAAGTTGCAGCCCATTTTCAAGCATGTTTGAAACTCAGGAGATGGTCACGCGACGATCGCCGCGAGAATCGCTCTGCAAAAATCGCAAAGTGTAATTGGGGCTTTACTTTACCGAATATTTGCGCATGGTAAATATTTAAACACTTTACTCTGATCAAAATAAACAAAATGTTAACTACTATGGAAATGGATACTGACCCTTATAGTTCTATTCTAAGGTGTATATTTACAGTGTCTATATTCAAAACTGGTTTTCAAATAAGTACTGTATTTTCAGTACTGTAAAAACGATGGAAATCGATTCTGTGCTTCAAAACAGTGTTTGACTCTGGAAGGCATAAATGTGCTGGCGTTTTTTACGGCGGAAAGTTATCTTTGGTAGTTAATATACAGGTAGAGCGTCAAGTTAAGAGCCAGTTCGACCTTGCGGTTTGATGATCTTTGATTCCCTAGATTTGTTTTCTGGGTTTTGGCAAATGTTACCTGAGGTTTGTTCCATTGGACCTACCAAATTCAAAAAAATTGAATTTCCGCAGCATAGCTTTGATAGAAAGACAGAGAAAGCTTGGATCATGGCCTTCTGGAAGGTTTTCATAAACCCTGCATAAACTACAGGATTAATGGCATGGGAAGCGTACAAGAGAGTGTAGGAGATCACATACGTTGTTTTGTCTTGATGACCGGTGATGGAGTACACTAATCGAACAATAATCCAAGGAAGACACGTGACCGTGAACCCCAAAACAAGACATGTGGCTAGTTTATTGATTTTGATTTCTTGTTCCAAAGTTGCTCTTCCTAGTGTTTGCACCATTTGWGCATCGTGCGCTGCGACRCCTCGCTTGACGACGTAACAKGAGTAGATCATGGAAAAAAGAATTGATATKATAGCGGCCGTTCCAAAACCGTTCAAAACTTCACCCGCAATAAAATGTGGTTGATTGTCGCGCAACATGAGCCAGTGAGTTGGGACAATAATGACGACAATCGCCATCGCTGCCCCAACACCCACTGAAACAGCCCAAAGGATTTTTGAAATACGTTTCATTTGCACCCTAGTTATCCTTCGATGTGTTGAATTTTTGATCGCGTCGTAACGGTCTATACATAGAAGTATATGGCACGAACAAATAGCAATACCAATRAATACAGTTAAAACAAAGTGAATGTCCCCAAGAACTTTGATATGCCGAAAATCTGAAATGAAAGTTGCGAACATAATCGGCATGTTTACCAAACAACCCAGTAAGTCGGCAGCTGCAAGATTGACAAGAATCAAGTTTGTTGGTGTTCGCATGCTTTTTCTACTGTAAACTGCCACACAAACTAATGAGTTTCCTATCATTCCAACGATGAATGTCAAGATAAGCGAAACGCAAGCGATKATTCGAGTAATAAGGGAATACATAGTTGCTGTATCGTTTGATTTTTGAAGCGATGTGGTTACCAGAATACMAATCCAAACTCCTTTTTTCAATTTTYCTTCTTTTWCCTCAAGGTWAATAATATGTCTTGTCACAAATTTGTAGTTTTAGATCTTCGGACGAGTTGTACAGCATTGGAACAAATGTAAGTTCAATAGTTATCYAATGAAGACGTGGCTGGTAATGCCATAGCATATTTCACAGACTCCACGCGCTGTAGACAATGTGGAGAAGARTACTGAAAGGAAATTATCGTGTAGGTAGCWGGCGCARTTTTACGAGGAATCGTTTGCAGATGATCGAATTTTCCGAGTKCACCAATAACAGCTTGACACTAAGCTAATAGTTTTGCGATACAGGTGAAACTTTCGTATATGTCCTTAATTTACATAAATTAATTGCACCGTGCAAATTATGACTTTCACTGTCTTAAACGATTGCGCCTCCGCTTTGTAATCAAAAGCGACTAATTGCTGCTCGTTTTGCTTTACCTAGACAAAATGGATATTGCATTTCTTTATCATATTGTTCACCATAGATTATTTTATCGTCTGCGCASCTTAGATATACAAATTCTTATGGCACTTTTTTCATTAGTCAAAACTACATGACTTGCCKCCCAAAGAAAATTGATTGTGATTTATTTAGACAGAAAGAATATTTCATTTCGTTATCATAATGTACACATATTTTTTTTCTCTTTGTCAGTCAATAATTATGATTTTTTGAGASATGCTGATTGTTAGGGAACTTTCCATTCGTCAAAACTGACACAAGAATTCAATTGAAATTCCGATTTTTGTTTTGTTTTATATTTCGTTATCATAGAGTACACAATAGATTCAGCTCTCATCACCTGCAATGATTTTATAGACGAACAGATTCTTACGATGCTTACCATTGGCGAGCATGTGGCTTTTCAATTCAGTGTAAAGAATATTTGATTTTATTAAAAGAAACGTTTAACCGGCACGACTCAATTCCCAAGCATCTATTGAGTAGTCTTGTCAAAAAAAATCCCTAAAAATCTAATTGGAATGGTCTGTTTGGTCAGTAAAATCTTTCATTTATCTTCCTTCGATAGAACTCTCTTTCTCTGAATCAGAAAAAAATGAAACACGCCCACATCCGCTGTCCGATTATCACGGGTCGTATAATCTTGAAAAATGATCTTTTTATAACGAAACCCTTGAAAAGTAGTGTAGGATATAGACCACTCCTCCTCTGGGCCGTACAAGTCCTTCTCACACAAACTTCAGAATCATTTTATTACCTGGCTAAATCCAGAAAATAATTTTTGGGCCTCAAATGTAATTTAATATAAGTCAGCAAGACAAAGATATAGTGCAAAAACTAAAAGTTCACACTACAATTACCCAAAAATACTGCTAAATTTGAGCTAAGGCGATGCAAAGCCGCATTTGGGTTTGTAGTCATGTACAACAGATTCTAATTTCCTTTTGTGGTTCAAATTATTATAAATTTTCTTATCTTTTTGCGAAGATTCTATAATGTTATCTTTGAAATGTCCAAAGTTCCATGGCCGTTTTATGGTGTCCATAGATTAAACTGTCAATGAAATATTGCCTTCTTGACATCATTGAGAAAGAGCACCGTGAAGCACTATGGTTCGAGCGTTCATCCAATCACAATGCTTGAATTATCGTTCAATTGCTGGCGGGAAGACGAGGTGAAAGTACATCATGGACGTTGGAGGTAAGCGGACAATTATTCATCTTTTTCGGCTTAAAAAAGGCTTAATTGCTTAAATTGAACATATTTTGGAAGTATGAAAGATAGTTCAACAGTCTGAAAGCGATATTTTGCTAATACATGCAGAGAAAATATAGTTTCTGAGTGATTTTCGAGGCGACAAAAATATGCAATGACTTTGGCGGCTTTGCTCGGTTTATTTAATTCATTGATTAGCCTTGTTGACCTGTTGACGAAATTCTTGGCAAAAATATTCAAGCTATTGAGTATAAAAAAGAATTTCGGTCCAAACAAGCCCTCTTTCTTTGTTTATCAACTGTTTTTCAAGGTTAAACAGAGTTTAATCGGGATCCCTGTGTGGTGAGAGAGCTGTTCCATTTGACGCCACAAAATATAAAATCTCTAATATGCATTGAACAGTAATGCAAAATTTATATAACTAAGAGTCATATAAAGTCATAAGAACAAAAATTAGTTTATATTATTCTTAAGTTCTTGAGATATTTTTTAAAATATCTTGAGCTTTAAATAGCTTCAATTGTGTCACGCAACTCCGTCACAAGAAGTTCAATGGTGTACAGAAATTTCTGCTTTGCATATAAAAATATTATACCGAATCCAAAGTACATTATAACGAAATATGTCCATAGAACTTCATTTTCCTTCCGTTGTAAGCCTTTGAATTCACACGGCTGTCAGCATCTCGTCTCCTCCGTATCCGTTTTTCGGATGCGAAGGAATTCAASATCCGACCACCGTCTGGATGCCTGCATGTACACTTTTACCAAATTTCGCATTAATCTATTGCCAATAATTCCGCATGCAAATGCTCTACAACTCTAAACTTTTTTTTTCAAACTTTGTAGTTTTTTATGCTCTAAAAGGATATTAATTTATTTTAATGCGAGAAAAAATTGAGATGACTGTACTGTGTTGCCTAGTTGTTGCGTTGTTGCTTTTCGTTGCTTTTCGTCATTGCCAGTGAATCATTGCTCTGGCTGTAGTGAGTCATTGCTGTAAACGGAGAGGTCAAGTGTACTGACGTCATTTTCCTTACCGGAAATGGTTATTGCACCATCTCTTATATTGCGAAATAGCCTTAAATCAGGTATATTTCAATATCACTTCGGTATTTCGTCGTTTTTTTACCCGAAAAGAGTTAAGTCGCTCAAAAGTGTCTGGTTTGAATCTCGCTGCAGCTAAAAATATGCGAGAGCTGTCCTTCTTGAATGTTCGTGAAGATTCCAGACGCTCTTCCATGAGATGACGTTCAAAGCTGCTGAAATCCGATTGGTCAATATAGTCAGTCACTGACATCCATCGGGGATTCCCCGTCGGCCTGTACCTTTATCGTGCAGAACACTTCGATTAAGAATCATTCCGCAAAGCTCGCTTTGTCCAGTGCTGGCCTCCTGTGAAAAGAACACAACTCTCCTTAAAACAGTGGGCATTTTTACTCAGTAGAATATCAACTCGTGGAAATATCAGATAAACATGATGTAAAAATTGGGCAGCCGTCTCTCGCTCACGCGTGGACGGTGGCCTTAAAGCAGTCGCAATGATTATAAAGGTAAGATAATCTTTATTTTAGATATGATGACTAATATTAAATACTTAGGAATCCAATTAATATACTTAAGGTCTTGTTGTTTGAAAAAGTCAAACGATCAAGGATTTTGCAATCCGTGCAATCCAACGTAATTTTCACCTGTGGGTATTTAACTGACCCTGAAAGCAGCTGTTCAAATCCTACTCCTCCAAATTGCTAAATATTATTTCAGTTTAGACGTCTAGTAATTAGTTATTGAGTGGATGGTAAAGTTTTTAAACTTTTTTTAAAGTTCAGTTTTAAGTGCATAAAATGGATTTTTATCTGCATGTTTACTACGCAATTGTAATTATGAACCGTAACGGATTACATCACTTCATGAAAATATCCGACTTCTAGCATCGAAAAAACAGTAATTCAAGATCCCAAAGAGCGCATAGTGATCGTATTTTATGATTGAGAAAGAGTTTTTTTACAATTTTGAGTTTGTAAAGTTTTTCGGCTCAGGGATCGAAGTCCACCAAGTAAAAGTGCTTACTCATTCATTGACGTACTCACGATCAATGACCGAGTTGTTGTCATCGTTTGGCGGGAGAAATATCCAGCTGATGCCTAACTACGTGTTCTTCAGCCCCCTAAGTGTGCATCATAATTTGTTTTATAAAAGTTTCACTTTTTAGAATTTGTAAAAATTGATTAAAAATGCGTTGAAGCCCAGTAAAAGTATAGACTACTACGCATTTTAGTGAAAAGGTCAAGAAATAGTTTACATTCTTGAATTCACATGACTCTCAGCTGATGCAACACAACAAACGTTTCTTAATCTCAAGCATTATTTTGATTGACAAGGCCGTAATTGATTTCCTTTCAATTTCTGGTGGATTCAAGCATCAAAGTATGAAAATTAATTTCCTGTGTCGTATTCAATTAATATTTTAAAATATCTGGAAAGAACAAAAGCTTTTTTAATCTCAAGTTTTATGTTGTATNTTGTAGTTTTGATTTCAGCATGTCTGAGAAAATACAAATTTTGTTAACTGCCTCAAGTCAAATTGAAAAAAAAAATCAAATTATCACATGCTTAATTTTTTTTTTCTTTTTTCAGGTTTTTATAACTGTGTTCATCTCATTTTTTACGGTGTGGTATAAATTCGCTGAAGGCAGATGCTTTGACCCTAACCATATAGAGGTCTGCAATGACGTTGGAACCAAATGTTCCTGCCGACCATGTCTCAGCTGCCCCCCAGGATTTGGTCAGAATTACGAATGTGGAGGGAGATCCATTAAGACATCGCAGAAGTTGAAGTGTGTGCATTGTGTAGTAGGGACAACATACAGTGATACAAACAGTTCAGCCATGTGCCGTCCCTGCCCACAATGCCATGGTCATGTAATGCTGAGACCCTGTACAGATGTAACACCAACTAAATGCAGCCCTGATATTTGTGATGAGGGGTTCGTGTGGAATGATGTTGTTGAGATATGTGAACCTGGTCAAGCGCCCATTACTACACCTAGACATACTACAACTACAACAGCCACACCAGCATCCACACCAGCTACATCAACTCCGGCTACAAGCCATGCTGTCACTCAAAGAAACAGCCTATCAAGTAAAACAAGACCATCAAAAACAGCATCTACCAAGGAATCAAAAACAGCATCTACCAAGGAACCAAATGATGAGTCTGTATTGTCTTCCAGTTCCAAGTCATCTACAGAGCACAAAAACAAGATTGATATGATCTTGGTTTTGGTCTTAGTAGTGGTAGTGGTAGTGGTTTTGGCACCCATCGTAACTTGTATCTTTTGCTGGAAAACCAGTGAACAATTCAGAAGTTATATAAGAAACTGTTGTCATTTGGTTGAAGAGAGTGAAAAAGATCTGGAAGAAGGAATACCACTTAAAGAAATGCAGGATTCTCCACAAGTGCAACGTGGTAGGATTAAACATAACATTTTAAATTTCCATTCATTGATATTTAGCTTTTTTTTTATTAACTGATCCCATTTCTACTTAGTCTCCTTTGCAGCCTCCCATTTTGTCAGGCTTCCTCTATGTCCCTCTCTTAAATTTAATACCTAATCTCAATTTTTTAAATAACAAAAATCATCATCATGCATCATCAAGTTTTGATCTTACCTGATTCTGATCCTGATTTTATGTCTTTGATTCCAGAGAATACCGAAACTCTACAAGTCCTAGAAGAGACTTGGCCAAGTGGATACCTGTTGAAAGCTGTTCCCATAAGTTTACGGGAACAAATTGAAATTGCCATTGCGAATGTAAATCCACCACTCAAAAGGGGCTGGAGAGAGATTGGTCAGGAACGGGGACTTAAAAGCCATGAACTGGATGGGATTGAAAGCTTTGAGAGCCAATTAAGAGGTTCACAATTGCTTAAGGTATTAGGATCTCAACAGCCAACTCTCACCTTAACTGAGTTTGTTAAAGCTCTCATCACGATTAAAAGAAATGACATTGTTGACTGTATAAAGCAGTTTTTCCTTGAAAGCAATGTCTAGGCAATAAGTGAATTGCATTGTCCTTATAATATTGCCGTTTCTTCAAACACATTCTAAGCACATTCAATGTGTTTGATAGCTTCATTGAGCAATGTCCAACTTTTGACATAAGCTGGGACCAGCAAAATGTTGGGTATACAGGGTTTTCAGTAAAAGCTGACTCTTGGACAGACCTGGACAGTGAAAATTGTCGGTTATATAGCTTAGTTTATCGCCCGCTACTTACAAATTTATTGGTGAATTATTTGGTTGTTGTTTGTTAACAGATTGCAAAAACAAATTGGGTACTTTTTCTATTGTGAYGTCTACTTTTCTTACTGAAAACCCTGGGTAAAATGCCCAATATTTTGTTTATGGTAATGTTATCTGAATATTGYTGGCTGGTTGATTCACCTTTTTCATTTGTCAGTGTCTTAAAATACATTTAAATGCCATAATCTGGGTGATTATTTTATGACACAGACCTGAGGGTGATTATTAGCTGAATGAATTGTCATGTAAATATGTACAGCCTCACTGGAGGATAGAACGTTAAAAAAGGGTTGACGACGATCGGGGACAAAACCCCATGGATCAGTCCTTGCGAGGCTTCATTCACAGTTTAAAAGAACAGTTCAATGTAGATGCCTGTATGATTCATGATGAAAATCAAACATTTGTAGAGTTAACATATTATATATTTTAAAATTTTATTGTACCAAAAATTATATTTTTAACATTAAAATGTTATTGAAATGTTTCATCCTCACACTTGCATCTATATTGAGCAGTGCTTTGAACTGTGATCGAATTGGCTTCTTAGAGATACAAATTGAATATACTTTGTACAAGGGATTACCTGGTATTTCAAGTTTATATAATATTCTTGTATATACYATTATGTGTTTTTAAAATTCACTTCTGGAGCTCAACAGAATTTTTTTAAAGACTTTTTGAGACTTTATTAGTCAACCTTGTTGCTTTCTTTAACAATTCTTTATGTTGATCTATAACAATTTTGATTGAAATTAGAACTAATTTAGTAACTAGCTGATTACTTAATCTTTCCAGAGATATATTATTTGTATATTTGTAGATAGCACCTTTTTTTATTTCATGCATTTACCCTTACAATCCACCCTAATGTACATATGTTGTTGATTTTAACATACCTTTTGCAAAACGCTGTCATGATGCCGGTATACTTATATATCTAACATTTYATAGATTTATCAGGCTACAATAGTCTGTATCAGAGGCATAAAATTAGTTTTGTCAGGAGAATGGGCTCCTGGTTTTGTACAAAATTCAAAAGTGTAAATAAATGTAGTAGAAATGTATGAATTGTGGATTATACAAATTATGAAWGAATAAGTGTTCATTGAAATTCGTTTATTTCTTTTTCCTTCTGCTTATATTCTTCGTTTTCACTATACGTCACAGCGGCCATCTTGGATGAACTTCAACAAAGGATTCCTCATTAGTATCTATTGTTCATTCCTCCAACATGGCCGCCGGTCTTTTATCTTTTGAATCTCCTGGGAATGGTTGAAAACGAGCAATTGGATACTGACTTACAAAGGCTGTGTGTAATCAGGTTCAGGGACGATGGAACCTCGTTAGTTCTTAGGAAATGGGGAAACGTCTGAATAATTTCGTGATTCCAGCGAGTTAACCATGAGTATTATATATCGCTCAAACATTTGCGTTTATCTTTCTCTTTGCCGATCTCTAGCTATGTTAAAAAGAAATACTTCACGCATTCTTGGCATATATAAAGGCATCAATTATTTGAAGGACAACGTTTGTTCTGTGTCATATGACGTTTTGACGTCACTGTTGCTAAGGGATATTTTAACATTTATAACGCCGATTAGATACTCCAAGTTCCGCCACAATATGGGATATTGCAAAGACTTCTGAATACTTTCTCCACAAATAAAATCTGGCCAGGAAAGCATGTAAGACGAGAGTGACGAGAAACAGGTGAATGAAAAAAATTGAGAATTTTCGTTAAGTAACAAGACCTTAATACGCCATTAATTAACAGCATCTCACATTTTTGTCAAATTGTATTCACTTTTTTTAATTAACATTTGAACTGTTTGGCAGACAAAGTTTCTCTGTTTCGATGACATGGATGACGTAATTGCTCAATGGCATAATGACGCCACAGTATGTTTACATTGTGGATAGAGCTGCTCAGAAAGACTCAAAATTTGGAACTACCAATATTCCAGTTCCGAAAGTAAAACTTTAGTGTATCGAGTTTTGATGTACATCATTTATCAATAATAGCTCGTCTGCATTTTATTTGATATGTAGATCCCTCTCGAGACTATGATCCTCAGCGTTAAAACATGCGATCATTTATGCGCAGGGGGTTCCCCGCCGTTTTGAAGTTATATCGAAGAGGAAGGCGAAGGATTGAAGGTGTGTTATAAAGTTTCAGATTATTGCATTTTCGAGTGATGGACTTCATTTATATCCTAATGAATGAAATCGCAAATTTTAAGCCAAAGTTATGTCTGTTTTTGTGTGGAAATCAGGAGCTTACTGCGACTTTTATATAAATCGATTTCAATTTATGCTGATCATTAAGTCTTGCGATCAGTTGTGCAAAAAATTGATTTCTTGATCTAAGTCTCTCTAGGGATTGAACTTCAATCACACAAAATATATGTTGGGGTTACTTTGAAGTGTGTTTAGCATACATTATGTTACAATTAGCCGATTTGATCTACACTAATTCAATAATTGATGTCAATGGTAAAATAATTTAAAACTTCTTCCCCCCCAATAGAATATCCTTAGAAGAACGTCTTATTTAAGGACTCATGGATAAAAAAGAACGGTAAACATGCAGTTTTATTTAATTAAAGGTGATTTCAAAACTTTGATGATCATGCAGTCTTCAACCAAAAACATTGCTTTCTTTGTTCTTATAGGAATTACTGCTGCCTTGTTCTACTCCTTAACAGAGTAGGGCTGGTAAAGCTACGTCACTTTTTCATTTATCAGTGGGATTCTTGCAGTGGTTGTCTTCCATGGACTGACAGCTCTCAAAATGGTGCTGACTTGTTGATAAAGTACACTCCACTTCATTATGAAAGAGACAAAGTCAAGTCAGGTGACACAACAACATGGGATTTGTCTCTCTTTGTCAAAACTCTATTGTACTCCAAACCTCCACTTGTACCGAGTTACGAAACAGCTTTAGTTGATGGCTTGAAATATTTGAAAGATACAAGAAACTTACTCGGTCACACACAAAATGGAAAGATTGAATCATTACAATTTCAAGATCTTTTCAAGGATGCATGTAATGCATTGAAGTTACTTGGTGCTTCAAAAAACGATTTCACACAAGTTGAAAATGGTACGTGTGGTGTTTAGATAAAGATTGCAACTTGATCATTATTTTGTGACATTATACAATAGTAATTCTCAATGTTTTAAAGTACTTTGAATTTTTATAAAATTACAAGGAGTATGAAATATTGTGTTGACAAATTTTCTTCATGAGGGCCTAACGTTTAATGGGATATACTGTATTAATTTACAATAGTACATGACATGTAAAAACATTTTTATTGAAGTATTGTATGTAAGCTGAAGTAATTCACATGCATGTAGGAGATTTAAGTGTTGTTTATGTTTGATGGAGGTGCTATACTAGTTGCACATTTGAGGCTTGAGTGCACTAACATTTTTGTATATACAGATGTGCAACGGCCATGGAATGAAGTGCTATCAATGGTAAAAAAGTGTACATCACAAGATGCAGACATTTTGCAAGGAATTGATACATGTAAGAAAAACTTACCTTGAGAAAATTAATTATGAATAATCTCACATCTCATTTTTTTTTATTTAAAGTGAATAGCAGTCTTGATGTCATAAAGACAAAATTGTATAATGTACATCACAGTCAGGAGCAGTCGCAAATAAGACAAGTGGAAATGCAAGAAAGAGTTGTAGGTCTAGAGAAAGGACTGGTAGAGCTACAGTGGGATCAGTGGCAGGGGCAAGAGAATATAAAGCAAGAAATAAAAGAACTAAAGCAACTCAGTCAGAAGCAACTGGATATCTTAAATTGCCAATTAATTCAAATACAAAACCAGGAATCCTCAGACATGTCACGCCAAAAGCAAAAGAAGATAAAGAAAGATCTGTCATTTATTACAAGAGCAAAAGATAAGCTGAAGCAGAGAATTAAAAGACCAGCTGCCTCAGATGTCCCAGAACTAGAATCTGATCCTGATTTCAATTGTCTTTGGATTCCAGATATCAATGCCCAACCTGTACCAGTCCTAGAAGAGACTTGGCCAAGTGGATGCCTGTTGAAAGATGTACCTTACAACCTACAGGAACAAATTATAATTGCCATCTCAAACGTAAATCCACCACTCCAAGTGGGCTGGAGAGAGATTGGTCAGGAACTGGGACTTGACAGCCACGAACTGGATGGGGTTGGAAGCTTCGCGAGCCATTTAAGAGGCTCACAATTGCTTAAGGTGTTGGGAACTCGAAAGCCAACTCTCACTTTAACTGACTTTCTTAAAGCTGTCTTCAAGGTTAAACCACTCCAAAGGGGCTGGAGAGAGATTGGTAACGAACTGGGACTTGACATCGAACTGGGACTTGACATAACTTGGCTTTATGTAATTACAGTATTATCCAAATAACTCTCAAACTTTACTATACTAATTTTAATATGCTCTTTCTTGTCCTGGTATCTATTTTTTCATTGCCTCAAACAGTATCGGGAATGCTGGGCAATGCATTGTTTTTTTTTAAGTAATCTTGCTGTGTTATATCTATCC